AAGCTTTTCCTAATGTCCAACCTAAACCTCCCTTGCTGCAATTTAAGCCCCTTGCTTCTTTGTCCTAAGCCGCTTCTTCATGTTTACACTGGATCTTTTTTTCTTCCCGTTTGTTTTATTTCCTCCCGGTGTCATAGAATCCTAGAAAATTAGGGTTGGACGAGACCTCAGGAGGTCATCTAGTGCACCACCTTCAGGACCAACCCCAACTCAATCATCCCAGACCGGGCTTGGTCAAACCTGCTCTTAAAAACCTGCCTGGGTGGAGTTTGCACCACTCCCTTTGGCAACCCAGGACAGTGGTAGGTGCTGTGAACAGCTGGGGAGTGTTAGGAGGCACCATAGTCCAAAAGTTATCATCACCCTTTGAGAAGGTCCCTGCATTATTGTTGACTCCTACAGGTGGATGAAGAACACAGAGACCCAAAGACAGGAAGAGAGACATTGCCTAGAACGTGTCCATTTTCCAGCCTGTTCCCATCCTGATGCTCCCTTCTCTGCTAGATGCTGTGCTAACCCCACTGGGACTGGATAGGCCTGGATCAGAAGCCCTCCACGCCCATGTCCACTCTTGGTGCAGGATGTTGTTGCACGTGGCGGAGTGAGAGAGGCGTGGGACCCGGCTACCGGAGCAGGATTCCTGAGGAAGACACTTTGGTCTCAGAATTGACAGATACCGTCCCCCATCTCTTGATGAGGAGCTCCCTGGCTTGACAAACCCAGTGGAATGTGTCCCAGTGACATGGGTCAAAATGTCCATTTTTCTCTGCCCCTTCTTTCCCGCCGGCGGAGAGCCTAGTGCCACAAGGTGTCTGCAAGTCAATGGCAAAGGGGATCCTTCAGGATGAAATGCGTTAGTTGATGTACAACACAAGGCCATATTCTGAGACCCAGGCTCATACTCTGCTCAGACCTCACCAAGGCAAATCTCCCCTTTGAGTAAAAACCGAGTAAAGACCTCGGGAGGCAGCTGTGTCCTAATAGAGTTTTTCTCCTCCTCTTGCCTTTCTGGGCTCTGACAATTAATGGGAGATAGGCCAGAGCTGTGACCTGACTTTCACCTGGATGTGGAAGGACTCCTCACTGACACAATTATCAGGTTGTTTCAACATACACAAGCCGTCTTCTCTTCTGGCGTCATTCAGGAAGTCGGCTGACCTCATCTGCCTCCTGCTTTCCAAAATAATTCAGCAG